AGGCGAGCTCGTAGACCATTAAGCTACTGAGACCACTCATCCAAGAAGATATTGCGAAGTGGTTGCGCTATGTTGCGAGCTAGCAGAATTTAGAATTCATGGACTGGCCATTGGATCGGGTCTTAATGGCTTAATGGTTTACGAGCTCGCCTTGTAACCAGAAGGTACTGGGCTCGAACCCCGGTGAGTGCGTACTGCTTAAGAGTCCCAAACTAGGATGAAACAGCTGTCCAGCACTCTCTGCAGGTTTTCCAATGGTTCTCTAACTAATGTCAGCTCGTGACGAAGTCCTCCAACCAATCAAACAAAAATCCCTACAAACCCAAAACTTCATCTGATGCTCACTAGCAACTGGCGCTATTCAGGCAGTTACAGGACATGAAATATGTTAAATAATGCTACTCAGTTCTGAACGTACTTTTTATACACCAGCTCATAAGCTTATAACGATTTTAATTGGACACTAGTTAGTAACTGGTGTATTGTGTCTAGTCCTTTCTCTGTCGCAGGCTGATTTCTATCAGTCAAACTTGCAATTTGACTACTATGCCACTAGATGGCTGGCGATCACGGTGCACTCTGAATTGTTGATATTAAACGGTTGGGGACAGTCACCAAGAAGCCTTGGTCCTAGGTCCAATCAAGGTATCCAGTACAGTATTATAGGTCAGCCACGGGCTCGATTAGCTCAGTGGTAACATATGGCTGCAAAACTGGGTTCAAATCTCATGACGGACATGAGTTCCTTCCAGACTGCAGATACTTCTTGCTGACGAGTGCCAACTAGCATGGAACCTAGGTCCGGCAAGACATCCTGCCGATTGCCTCGAACTATCTAATACTCAAGAAATGCCTAGTAATGATGTAACCGGGTAAAACCACTTATGTACAGTTTTTCTTCCTCTCCTCACTTTAAGCTAAATTGATTTCTATTTTATCTGGTGACTAACAGATTCCAAACATCCTTCATGTAATAAAATCTCAGAGATAGGCGGCGAGTCAGTCATCCAAACTATACATGTGACTGATTATCGTCTAACTCTTATGTAATGTCATACATTTATTCCCCTTAATGAATTTGAACAAAGCAAGAACTACAATTTCATCAGAATAAAATGGTACCATCTTTTATTTCGTTGTCTTCTCGTCAGCTGCTTACATGGCAAAGGCATTATTAAATATATCTACAACAACAATTTTGACATACTTGTACAGAGTTCATTTTAAACAAAAATCAATCGATCAATATACGCATACACTAATTATATATATATATATATATATATATATATATATATATATATATATATATATGCAATATTAAAAAGTATTCCGAACAATAATAATCATACACAATGGGAACTTTTCAGCATTACGCATTCAGATGAAAGAGAGATGAAAATATCCAGTTACCAGGCAGGGCAAAGAAAGACTGATAACCGCTTCTTTCTGGACGCATAAATCAGGTTTCAGGCGCTTGATGGAAATGGCTTCAGCAAATTTAAGGAGAATTCAGCTCTTTTGCCTATTGATAATTTTGAACGACTTCTCGACGTCCACCTCATGGCCCGTGTCGACGAGATTCCTGGCGATGGCACTGTTTAAAGAATTTGTTCCCTTTAGACGTAAGCTTTTTGGTACATGTTCAGAAAATCGTAGATATGCCCTTCTTTCTGTCCTTCCAATGTAACTGCTCCCGCAGATACATGTAAATTTTTATACACAGTTGGAGTTAACATGAGAAGGATATCTATCGATTTTTGATTGCACCAAAGAGCAATTTGTTCGACAGACGGGGATGAGCTTAGCTGCAGGATAGGCTATGGCTAGTGATGTACTCAGCCTTCTGTTGATCATAGCTGCAATATTTTCACCTTTATAATCAAGGTGGACGTAGATTGGCTTTTTTCCCACTGTGATTTGTTCTACATTTGTGACTTCAGATCTTCCGTACTTGTTGATGAACTTTTGAGGATACCCATTTCTCTTCAATATCTTTTCAAGGAACTCGAACTCCTCCTCTAGTTTCTCTATAGAGCATATTCTCCTCGCTCTATAGTACACAGTCTTGACTAGACCACGTTTAAAGCTATTTGGACAAAGGCTATTAAAATGCAAGTATTGTCCTTTCCATGTGGGCTTTCGATAAATTGACTTTTGAAGACTACCGTCTTCTAGGCGTTCCATGGCTATGTCGAGGAAGTGAAACTTTCCGTCACTTTCATGTTCCATAGTGAAGTCAATATTGGCGTGTGCACCATTGAATTAATCTTAGTAAGTGTGATGCATGACTTTCATTTTTACACACTATAAATGTGTCATCGACAAAGCGACAGTAGGAAGATGTTTCGTCGATTGCATGCTTCATCTTTATTCTTTCAAGGTTAGTGTTTAACATTTAGAAGGGAAATATTTACAAAAACTACTTTAACATGGAATCGATCGCGATATTCTAGATTTCTTTTCTCTAAGTGAGACGATAAATTCGACGTTTTAAGAAACTTGGTAACATAGGATAGAGGTTTTGAACTTTCTCTTAATCAAATTCAAGTAATAAAGAGTATCAAATGTGTCTAGATTCAAGTTTCTTGCTTTGCCATCTCTAGTTACGAAAGGCAAAGGTAAATATTTAATGCATCAGGAAGACAACGCACTTTCTACTCGAAAAGAATGACTCTAAACTAAAATTATTCATTAAATTAGATTTCTCATGCTGGTCAAAGAACGCAGAAGTATGCTTATTCCTCTTAGACGACATGATAGATGAATTTAGGAGGTATACAGGGATTTGTTGTCCATCTTTGGCGTGCCCCAAATCTTTATCAACCTCATCCAACATCTATATGGCAATAATCGCACGTGTCAGGTGACCCTCATAGGAAAATTCAGAGAGGTGTTCGAAGTGAATACGGGAGTAAAACAAAGCTGCTAGCATATTATCACCGATTATATTCTTGATTGTGGTGGACTGGATTATGTGTCAGACTTTGCATTGGGTGTGAGAAGACAGGAATACATTGGAATAAGTGATACAATGACTCTAGAAGATCTGGAATTCACGGACGATTTATGCTCCTTGTCATATAAACTCGAAGAATTGCAGGCGAAAACTCAAAAGTCGGCAGCAGAGGCTGGCAGCAAAGATAGAATTTCAAAAGAACATAAAAGAAGATGGAGGTGATGCAGACACTCGACCACAACCACCTACAACAACAACAACAACAACAAGCACCACCAACAGGACAGTGGTTACTTCCTTCACTTATCTAGGCAGCAAATTTCCAATTACAGGCACACAGTACTGATAAGTATGTCAAAAATAGGATAGAAAAGGCAAGATACGCCTTCATCAGTCTAAAATCGGTTTGGAAATCTCTTGTACTCACCAGAGAGAATGAAATTCAGATTCTCAACACAAATGTTAAGTCAGTCAGTTCTTCTATGTGGGTCAGAAACTTGCACTGTGAGTCAGGAAAACTATTTCCAACAGACTTCAGAATTAACCAATAGCTGCCTTCTCTGACTCCATACTGGGGATCAGCTGTCTGGCCAGAAAGAATTAGCAACAAGAAGTTCTAGGAACGAACTAATCAAGAATCCACAGCTCGACAAAATATCCCGAATAAGATGGATTGAGTACACACGAAAGAGATCGTCGAAAATCATCGCTCTAGTGAGACGTGAATGTGAAACAATGAGTGAGGCATCTAAGGATGACATGGAGAAGATTTTGTGAAGGGAACTGTAAACAGATGAATCAATTAAAGAGGGCTGCAGAGAACAGAGTGAAATGGAGATATAGTCTCCTGAAACCCTATGTCCCACTAGGAAAGCAAAGAAATAATAATAATAACCATCTTTGACCATAGGTGTTTGAGCTCCATCTCTCGGTATTAATGGGTATGTTATGAGTAGTATTAAAGTTGGACTTAGAGTATTAGTCAGGGAGGGGATGTCATTCGATGAGGTTGTGGAGTTACATCAACTTAAATGTATATGACACGTATTACGCATGCCAATTCATCGCCTTCCTCATCGAATAATAATAACCGATTAGGTTGAAAAAGAGTCACTGGTGGTCAAGTCAAAGTCTGGAATTAGTTCAAGAAGCTTATGACTATTGGTCTGAACCAGCCATGTATTGAGGCATAGATTGCATAGCAGGATTATGTCTTCAAGACACTAAGAACCAATTGTTTGAGACTGTTCGTTATATTTCTCGAAATCGTTCTCAATGACACATATGCACCCACTATTTTATTCTTCAAGATTCATCAACCCCTTATGATCATCATCCACATACTTATTCTTCCTCCTGTACATTTCCGTTCATTATAATTCCAGTTCATTTTTTTTTGTAACTTTTTGTGGTATAAGGAATTTAGCAAATTGAATTGTTGCACTTTTGATCTGAGTTCTTTGTTGAAATTGAGTCCGTTATGTCAAAGGAACTTATACATAAGATTTTATACACTCCCTCTGTCAACAGCTGTGCATATGACCTGACCTTAGGGAGACGCAATTAAATCTCAAAGTTAAGAGAGCTTCAAACTTTTCGAATCTCAGTAGGATTGCTACTGTCGTTCTTCTTTTTAGGGGTGGGGTTAGTTAGCCTAACAACGCCCAGGTTAACTACTGGCTAACTATTTGATTTCAGGCAGATAATATAGTATATATACATGCGTCGGTAGCACAGCGATAGAATGTTCTCTGGGCAGGTATGTGGTCCGGAGTTCGATCCCCTGCCGACGCACTCCTTTACCTCGCTAAGCCAGGGATAAGACTGGTAAACAGGAAAAGTTGGGCAAGAGGCTAGCTAGCAATCCCATCCCGTAAAAATAAACACCACTGCTACCGGAACTTCAATGCTTTAGGTTTGTTCCACTGGGAAAGCGATGGAATAAAAAATTTTTTTAATAAGATATATGCAATACTTGAGGTAACTTGTGATACAGGCATAGATTTAACACAATTTTTCTTCTCTCTGTTTTATCTTCCAGTATCAACCATCTTTACCAAGATTTTCAACTGATTCTGACAGTATGAGTAGACGAGGCACTGAATCATCAGTTATCTATCGAGACAATTAATTGACTAACAATCAGACTAACAATCCGTCGACAACAGAAAGATTCCTTCTGTAGCCTTTACTAATATAAGAAGTTACATCCATTTTCACACATTATTCTACACTACTTTTCAAAACAAAAAATTGTTTTTTGTTCCCTGTTTGTTTGTTTGTTTTAAATGTTTTACAAAGGAAAAAAATGCAAATGTGTGTGAGTCTATTTTCCCTTCCTGAGCCCCTCCCCTTGCTCACAACATTTCTCCCGAGTATATATATATATATATATATATATACGTGAATAATTCTTCTGTGAATGAAACCAACATATCTTATATCTTGCTTGGTCTTCGGAATTTACCTCAAGATAAATAATGGATCTATAGAAATTAACCAAGCAAATAATTAATTAATTAACTGACTAACTAACTAACAATAATTCATTCACTTATTTATTTGTTGATTATAATTAATTTTTGGTACATGCTTGCGGCTAACTTAGACATGTTACATACAATGCACAAGTTAATATTGTTAATAAAGTAAACATAAAAGTTGTTTTTACACTTTTTTCTGATCACATTTTATGAATCAACAACAATTATTTCCTATTTAGGTGTTGGTTTGTAAGGATTCGGTTGGTAACAGGATTTCATCATGAGTTGACATTAGTTAGAGAACCATTGGAAAACCTGCAGGAAATATTGGACAGCTGTTTCGTCAGACTAGTTTGGGACTCTTCATTAGTACGCACACACAATGCGGGGTTCGAACACAGGACCTTTTGGTTACAAGGCGAGCTCGTACACCATTAAGCCACTGGGACCCGATCCAAACTAGTCTGACGAAATAGCCGTCTAGTACTCCCTGCAGGTCTTCCAATGGTTCTCTAACCAATGTCAGCAGCTCATGATGAAATTATTTCCTAACTTGATCTGGTTTTGGAGAGACTTTTGAGTAGTTTGCGCACTCATGCCCCCTCCCCGATATGCTAGGACTCGAACCCATGGCATTAAGGTAATGAGGTGAGCCTGTAAATTATCCGGACATTCAAACGGAATTCAAAAGCCGATGCATGAATTTCAACTTCTACTTATTTGTGATATATGCAGACCAACTACTACTAATCAATCTTATCGGCAAGAAATTCTCTCCAGAGTCAACTTCCGGTGGATTCCATTGGTTACGAGGTTGTAGTAGGACTTCAGGCAGTTTCATCGGGTAGTCAGTCGTTAATGAACATTAGAATAGTTTTCAAGAGTTAGTTTGTAGAGATTTAATTTGTTTTAAGTTTGATCATGGGTTGATATCAGTCAAAAGACCACTGGGGAAATCCAGGGAGTACCGGATAGCTGTTTTTCCAACAATACTCACCCACCACCTCATGAGGAGTCGAGTCAGACAGACTAAAGCAACAGTGACTCGAACGAATGAGACACCAATTGAACTTGAACAATCAACGCGTTACTTGGATAAGAAAAAATTACGTAAGACGAAATAAATATACAGGATGGCGACCTCTCATGTGTAATAGAAGTGTGTTGTGGTTATTAGCGTTGTTCCAGTCCCTGAAATGACTGTATATCATTTTATTTAATGACTAATAGATCACTAGAATACTGTTTTACAAATACTCCCTTAATCGTTTTGTGAAACTGGCAATCATCCTTTACAGCGGACCAGAAAACTGGAATAACTCAGTAGTAACGTCTCTGACCTTAGCACCGGGTAACCCAGACTCGAACTCCAGAAGACACATGAGTCCATTTAAGATTGCAGATACACCTTGCTGATAAATGCCAACGAGCACGAAATCTAGGTTTGTTAAGGCTTCCTGTCGACTGCCTCCAATCATCTGACAATGATTTAGTGTTGTGAATATTTCTGTAAATTCATTCAAGATCTCAGTAAATGAAAAATCCCCATATTGAAATCGAAACAAGATTTTGAACGAACAATTGTGGTTTCGATAACTATTTCTTCAGGCTCTACAGTTATAAATTCATGAATAATGTGCGTCGGTGGCACAGTGGTTAGGACTCTCGCCGATCATGCACATAATCCCGGGTTCGAGCCCTCGCCGACGCACACCTGATATCTATGGTCGGCCTGCAAAATTTGGGTTACCGATATCCATGCTGAAAATTCCATACTTGTACCAAAAATACGGTGTGGAATCAAGCTGTAATCAAAAATAAAATAAATAAATAATGGAGTACATATACCCAATAAAGGTAAATGAAAACAATATCAGAAACTGTATTCGGGTGCATTTGTAAGTTGAGATGGTAGTCCATTAGTTAACATAGTCAATCAAATGTGTATAGGGTGTATAGTCAGTCATAAAAATGTGATGAAGTGTGAATGAGCAAGGTTATATGTACTCTATTATTCTTGGGTTTATAACTGTACAGCCTGAAGAAGAAGTTATCGAAACCACAATTGTTTGCTTAAAATCTTGTTCTGATTTCATTCAAGATGATCTGGTTCACTATTCGCTTGGGTCTCTGTACTTCAGTCTTGCCAGTAGTGATGGAGACCAGAGCCTTCAGAAATTATTTTACTGTAACTATTCTTTCAATTTAAAAAGGTTTAATAAAAAAAAGAAATGTGCAGACAGAAATTTTCAGGTATTTAATTATGAGATATGGAAATCACAAAAAAGGAGTAACTTTAGTTGTAATTCTGACGAGGATATTAATTGTAGCGGGATAGTTCACTGCGTACTATTTCAGTAATAACCTATTTAAGATATTTTCACAGTAAGCTATGCAGCTACGTTGTAGTTCTTACAAGCCTGTAGTCGTAAAATGCTCCTTGATACGCGTATACCTAAGCTTAATGATGGCAGTCAGCCGAAACTTGAAACATAGCGAATTGAATTTTGTTGATTCCGTAATGGTAATATGTAGTTTATTTCACTGGACTGGACATGTTATTATCTTTAACCGTGTTCAACGGGTGCTTGAATCAAACTTTGTTATGTAATATATTATTGCTTCGACGATAACTGAAGATTAACAGGCTGTTTTCTCGGTTAATAGTGACCAGCATTGGAGCCCAGAGTACATATTTCGTCCTATTCGGGACTCGTCAGTTCGATGAACCTGCGTCTCCAATGAATGATGGTATTTCCACTGAGACTCGAAACCTGCACACATCATCTCAAGCGCCAAAACATTATTCACTGGGAAGGCAAATCAACTTACACAATAATAACTTATACTTCTTGCACAACTGATAGCTCTCGTGGTTAACGATTAGTATTTTGAAACGATGGGTGTGAGGTTCAAGTCTAAGTGGCAAAACCATCATTCAATGTGGGTCTAGGTACATCCAGCTGATGAGACTAAAATAGAACGAAATTCGCATTTTCGACTCTACAACTTATCACCGTCAACTAAAACAACAGAATAAAACTGAACTTAATATACTGTTGTGATGATCAAAAGTAGTCTTCTACAAATTTAGTGTTAAAATTACTACCTAGTCAATTATATAAGCAAAAACAATAAGCACCTTGGTGAGGTGATAGTTAATACTGAAACAAGAAAAATCGATCAAATGCCGACATATATATTCAAACAAGCGATAAAATAATACACTTAGAGTTATGATTATTTGTTGCATACACTGTCTTCTCGTATTGATAAAATTTCTCCTTTCACATTTTACACGCAGTACTTGCGGATTTTCAATTGAACAAAATCTTTACGATGATTAAGAAATGAGGTTCATCCATAACTGATACCCTTATAGCGTATTAAGAGTTATTTGATGATATTGGATAGTTGAAGGCAATCGGCAGGAAGCCTTCGACCTAGGTTTCGTGTTAGTTGACATTCGTCAGTAAGGCGTATCTGCAACCACTTTGAAGGAGCTCATGACTGCTAGAATTCAGTCTGCAGCAAAGAAAGCACTAGACACGTCACACTAATCACTAGTGTCCAATCAAATTAAGAGTTATTGTTAGTGCATAACAAACACACCTCTCCTAAGTATTTTAAACAAAGAGACGGACAGAGATCAATACTAATTAAAATACATTCTTTCCTTGATTGTGGTGGACTGGGTCATACGATAGACAGTAAGGTGTGAGAAGACAGGCATACAGCGAACCGAAGGAAAGAACTTGGGAGATATAGATTTCGTAGATGTCTGTCTGTCTATTTTCGATATAGAACTTTGCACATATGTGAGGCAGTTCAAGTCACCACACTCCCTCCTTGTAACGCACAAAGCAAGAGAATAAAGTAGAAGAAATGCATAATAGAGACAGTAAACAGAGGTGTGAGACAAAGGAATAGTAATAACGAAGAACAATATAGTTTCATTGGAAATCATAAGTCACAAGGAGTGGATGCATCTGCACTAGCCGTTGAGAACGATGAGTTTGAGCCATATCACCAATTGTTTCCAACCATTGATTTTTACCGTCTCGATGACCTCAACCAGGAAGTCTACACCTTCCTACGTGGCTTAGACTAACTGTTGTGGATTTCATTGACTGATGAAGAAGCCATGTTTTGGTTTGACCTCCGCTAGCTCTTTTCCAGCCTGACCCTATATCATCTAACATTACCCAATATCGAGGAAGGCGATGACTTGGCATACGTAACACATGTCCTAACCATCTCAGTCGATGTAGCTTCATAGTCTCGTCGATCGATTTCCCCTCTTTACCTAACAATCGACGCCTAACCTCAATATTGCTCACCTTATTATACCACTTCACACGGGAGATAGAGTGCTGGCACCTATGATCAAAGACAGCTAGCCAGGCTTTTCATTCTTTCCACTCTCAATGGCCATGTCTCGCTCACAGCCATAAAGGAGGATGGAGCGAACTGCTGAGCAGTACACCCACCCTTTGGTCGATAGCCAGATTTCGTAGATGCCTAATGTCGAACAAACTCGAAGGTATACAGTAGAAAAACGACAAGCCGACAGAAGAAGCACCAAAGACAAGGCTTCAAGTGAAAATAGACAACACAGATGCATATCCATACAACGGGAACAACAACAACCACCATCAATAGGAGAAATCTAAAGAGAATCACTCCTTTCAATCACCTGGCCAGCATCGATTCAACTAAAAGCGGTGCATATGTGAGTGTCAAAGCCAGGATAAGGAAAACCAGATCAGTATCCATTACTCTGAAATTAAGCCAAGGAATAATAAGATCAGATTCAGATTTTCAACAGTAATTTCAAGCTAACTCTTTTATACGACTCACAGACTTGATGCGTCACGTAAAGCATTTCATCAAACAGGCTATTGACAAAATTTCATGAACAGCTGACTTCATCTACTAGACAGTTAAGATCAGATAGCCCACCGGAAGTGATAAGCAATAAGAAACTCTGACAATGAACTAATCAAGAACCTATGGCCTAACGAACACTGAGAAGGAAATGGAGATAAATCCAGATCCTTGAGTGGAAGATGTAGAGGCGGATGAACAAACTTGCCATACATAAAAAAAATCATATGAAGAGAAAATACATCCCTGTAGGCAGCTGTGTAATCACTTTCAAGTAACTGCAGAGAACTGAGTCAAATGAAGGTGTACCACTGAAGATCTATGTCCCATGTTAAACGCGTAAATTGCAGCTCTACGCATCATCATCACAGAACAAAGCATGGAATGGCAATCAAACCTAACTCTACCTTAACTTTATAGACCTTGAGAAGGCCTTCAACGGTGCAGTGTTGACCGTGAAGTAATTTGGAAACTACTCGAGTACTACGGCGTACCCAAAATATTCATCAACCTTATTCAACAGCTGTATGACAACGGTGGAACATGTCAAGTCATCCACAACGGAAAACTCAGTGAGGCGTTTGGAGTAAACACAGGAGTCAGACAAGGGTACTTATTATCACCAATGATATTCCTAACTGTGGTGGACTGGATTATGTGACAGACAGTGGGAAACGAGAAGACAGGGATATCCTGGACCAACCGACGTGAAGAACCTAGAAGACCTGGATTTCGCGCGTGGATGATTTATGTTAAATGTCACACAAAATCGAAGACTTACAAGCGAAAACCGACAAACTGGTTGAGGAAGCAGCCAGCGAAGACAGGACTCCATGTGAACATAGACAAGACGGAGGTTATGAAAATAACCAACCAACGAACAACAATAACAGCAGCAACATCCAGCGCCAATCACCATCAACAGGACGGATTTGAAAGAGGTTACTTCATTCACTTACCTAGGGAGTATTGTCTCAATTACAGGCAGTTGGAACGGACGAACATGTCAAATCAAGCGAGAATCGGGAAGGCGAGCGAGAAACACATTCATCAACCTGAAACCAATCTGGAAATCTTCGTCACTCACCATCAACAACAAAGTTCGGATTTTCAATACAAACGGATCAGAAACTTGGCAGGCGGGTCACAAAGAATATTTCCAACAGCCTGTTGCAGACCAGACCTTTATCAACAACTGTCTTCACTGGATCTATACTGAAGATCAGATGACCGGGCCGGGCCGGTAACAATCACCAACAAGAAACTATGGCTGGGAACAAACAAAACAAGAACCAATCGCTACCCAACAAAGATGCAGAAGAGAGTGAAGATGGATTGGACACTCGCGGCTGAGGAGGCCGCTGGGTGACATCGTGCGAGCGTCAAGCCATTGCTCGAGTGGAACCTGAAAGGGCAGAGGCAAGTGGGACGTCAGTGCAAGGGTGACATGGAGGATATCGTGTGAAGAGGAGTTGAAACAGTATGGACTAACATGGATGCAGGTAGAGCAAGTACAACAGAAGGAAGACAGAAGCAAGTGGAGACGTGCAGTTGAAGCCCTCTGTTCCACTAGGAACCCAAGGGAACAATAATAATGATGATGATAATGTGAAACGCAAAAAATGACTAATAGTAGCAGCATTAATAATAATCAACTTTATTTGGCAGTTAAACTAACAGCAACTGTGAGTAAATGGTGTCTCAATGACATTACCATTTAAACGGATGGGCGAATGTGCGAGGGGGGGGGGTAACTTCTCACTTAATTTATGTAGACAAACAATCTACCCTGTTACAAAACTGAATGTAATAATAAACAAATAAAGATTAATCATTATTTTCGCTTTAAAATATACAATAGATTATGTATTTCTCTTATTACTGGCGCACAAGTAGGCGATGATAGTGTAATTAGAAAAAGAGAAAACTAAATAAATAATAATAAGAGATTGCGAATTGTTGAAATGTTTTTACACTAGAAGAAAAACAATATATGAGTGAGTAATAATGAAAATGTTCTTTGTTTTTCGAATGCATAAATACTTGTAATGCTCTCGAAACGAGAAACAAAAAGAATGAAGACCAAAGAATCTTTTATCATTGGGAACATCAAATTTTAAAATACATGAGGTTCCAAAAACATCAATAACAACAAAGATGAAATAACAATAATATCGAAATGACGAAACAAGAGGATTATGAAAAATATAATTTCCTCTCAAAAAAAAAAAAAGATTATTTTTGAAGAGTTACCACTTCCAGTTTCAATTATTTAAGAGAATGCATATTAAATGTACTGGCGTATTTGATCTGAGAGGTGATAGCAATCGTAATAATTAATCTGACTAATTGTTTAATATTCAGGCTATGAAGGTAAAATATCAAGAAGAGAAAAGTTTCCAACAGTATTATTTAATCTTCTTCTGAAGTTGACTGTTCTCCTCTTTGTCTTCATTATGTTGAGAAGTGTTGGCGCTCTGAAATAAGAATTTGAAAAAAGAACAACTGTAAATTTCATCTTACAATGTGACAAAGTTGTTTTATTCACTATTATGTGTTATATTGTTACTATTCCCGTGGGTTTCAGGTGGAACATGGGGCTTCAATAGCAAGCACATCGACATTTCCTCCTGCTATCTGCTGTCCCATTTATCTGGCGCCACAATCGTCCGTAGTCTCCGGGCTCCTCCACGTAACTCTCGAGCAAACACCTAAATCGTCGCTATTCAGAGTTCCCTATTGCTAATTCTTTCTTCCCGGCCGACGCACTCCTTTACCTCGCTAAGCCAGAAATAATGCTGGCAAAGAGGAAAAGGTTGGGCATGAGGCTAGCAACCCCATCCTGTAAAATAAACACTGCTACAGAAACTTCAAGTCACTAGCTTGAAGCCCTATGTTCCACTGGAGAACGTGAAGGAAAAAAATCTTTCTGGCTATTTGATCCTCGGTGTGGAACTAGAAAAGGCATCTGTCGATAAACGTCTGCGGTAGGCTGTTGAAAATGATTTTCGTGACGCACAGTACAAGTTTCTGACTCACATAGAAGAAGTGACTGGCTTATCATCGGTGTTGAAAATTCGAATCTTGTTCTTGGTGCTAAGTGTAGATTTCAAAACTGATTTCAGAGTGATGCAGGTTTTGATATCCATATGCGTTCCTCCTGTAGTTGAAACGAAGCCGTCCAAATAAGTGAAGGGAGTGTGACCTCTCTTGAATTTCTCGCAATGATAATGATTGGTGCTTGTTATTGTTGTTGATCACTGGCTAGCCTTCCCTATGCTCACTTGAATTTTTGTCTTTGCCGCCAGCCTCTTCTGCCAGCTTTTGGATTTTCATCTGTAAGTCTTCGAGTTTATGTGACATTAGACATATTACCGTCTGCAAAGTCTCGATCTTCCAGAGTCTTCTTATCGGTCCAATGCATTACTGTATTCTCGCTCCCTGTGCACAGTCTGATGCATAATCCAATGCGTAAAAGACGAAGAATACCAGAAGAATGATAACTTTTAGCTCATATTTTAAAATCTACTGGTATACACCGCCTAGTTTCGTCAATTTTACAAACATTACTTAATGCTAAATGAAGTCGGTGTAATTAGTTCTCCAGTTTCACTTCTTCATCTTTATTCATTTCAGTTCCAAACAGAACATAGGGCTTTGAGCTCTGACGTTTCAGTAGCGGTAGCGTTGTTTGTATGAGATAGGGATTGCTAGCCTCTAGACCAAGGTTTCCTTTTTGCCGGGCTTTTTAGAAGGTTAATAAACTAGGTGAGGTTTAGGACCTCTCCCGTGCCTGGTAAGCATCCTACCATTGAACCGCTGACAAACAAACAACATGCGACGGTCAGGAGACGAACGCGGATCCTATGCTTACAAAGGCAGTCAGGATAACCGTAATACATAGTCATTAAGATTAAAAGACGACAAAGATATACGATTTTGAACGATGTAATTTTGCACACACACAAACACACACAAAACATTAATCAATATATGCCTCAGAAAATATTTACCAAAGTATATACACAAATACAAGCAAAAAACACAGATATCCAAGAACTAAACTAAAGCACCTTTTGTGCGCCCCAACTAGCGACAGATTAAGTACACAGTTATACTGATAAAAATAATTCCACAGAAAGAAATAACAACATAAAAGCAGGACAAAATCAAATCATTCTACACCAACCTACCATTCGAGCATTGAAAAAGCATAAATAAGTATTCCATATACTGGTAAAAAATGCCACATATAAGACACGATAAGCAGTGGGTACAAAAGCGAAATTGATAGTTTGTAAAAGCGGCCAAAAAGCCAGATCGGATAGATAACCAGGAATAAATGAATGATAACACCGATCAATAGCACCAGTCGCTGTAAATGTATCACAGAAGCCGTTATCTAATTACGACAAGAATAGAAAGAAAAAAAAAGAAATAAGTGTGTATATGACAATTAATATAAGATTTTTTGTTTTACAAATGTGAAAAGACATAAGCAGGCGACTATAAGCAGTAAGACTATTTTACAAACTTCAGGCATTGGATTTCACCAGCGATGGCGACAAAGTGAATTTTTTCTTCAGTTGTATAATCAAAATATCGACTTAATGATTATAAGAGGCATCACAGCATCAATATGGATATGAGGGTTCAGGGTTTGAAATACCACACTAGCGGTGGTATTGTTTTCTTACAAGAGATGATGTTGCTAACTTCACGCCTAAGCTGCTGTCTTCACCGAGCTTACTATCGTCTAAGGGAAGTTTAAGAGTACCGCAGCTAGAAATTGGACCGTGACCAAGTGCGTGGTTAGCGAGCATTTTACTACTGAACCACTGACGCACAAATATAGCTAACAGCGTAAGCAAATTACCTGTAAATATTCCGACATTTAAACACGAATTGAAATGCATTAACACCTATTGATAGAAGACCGAAAAACTGATTACATTATAAAAGTAAGTGCCATAACCTTTAGATCGCCTTAACTTCATCTCAAATAAAATATTGATTACAGTCAGTAAATAAAAGTGTTTGTGATTTTTTTCAAGTATTGGTTTTTGTATGGATTTTCGATTAGTTGGTTGGAGGATTTCATCATGAGCTGACATCAGTTACAGAACCATTTGATGAGAACATGAGAGTACTGGCCAGCCGTTTCGTCCGCCTAGTTTGGGACTCTTCATTAGTACGCACCCACCAAGATTCGAACCCAGGGCCTTTTGGTTACAAGGCGAGCTCAGAGACCATTAACCCACTGGGATCCGATCCAACTGCACATGGCTTAATGGTCTCTGAGCTCGCCTTGTAACCACAAGGCCCTGGGTTCGAATCCCGATGGGTGTGTCTACTGATGAAGAGTCCCAAACTAGGCTGACGAAACAGCTGTCCAGTACTCCCTAGCAGGTTTTCCAATGGTTCCCTAACTGATGTCAGCTCATGATGGTATCCTCCAACCAATTTCTGCGTTCAAAAGATTATCTAACCTATTATAGCTATTGCCACAAAAGTTATTGAATTCATAATGAATAAATTTACATTTAAAAAGTACAAATGTGAAATTTTACACTTTTGTGCAAAGCTCCAAATTGATTAGTCGATCTGTGAATAACTGAAGCCACAGAAATTGTGTTAGATTAATAATTTCATCTGCAATAATATTCGCAATATAAATTTTAATGATTTAGCGATTGAGTCTGATACAGAACTTTACCACACTCCATATAGAACGCAAAGGTGGAAGAGAAGTTTAAAAAATTTCAAAGGAACTATAACGAACAAAAATGTACTGGAGAAAGAACAAGTATGTGTGGAATTGTAAGGAACTGATAAATCTGGGAGATTACAAAGAATGAACGAATCTGAGCCACTGAGAACGATTTCACAGCATACCATCAGTATTTCATACGAAGTCTGATCAAGACTTAAGCAAATAATTTCACAATAGTTGAGAACTGAGTGAAAAATAGGCATATGTAAAAATATTTATACAGATAACGACTTTACATATCACCAACTGGCTTTTAGCTCCTTCAGGACTCTAACTAGGCAATCCATGCCTATCTGAAAGTGGATTTCCAAGACCAATAGTCATAGAATTCATGAATTGACTTGACCACCTGTGACTTTTTTCCATCCTAATCCTATGTCAACCAACATTGTTCAACGAGGAAAGCGATAGCTTGAAACGCGTGACACGTGTCCTAATAATTCAGTATATGAAAGTTACAAATATAGAAAGACAAGCGAAAAACGTAACATACATCAGATGATCCAAAAAGTTTATTTTAATGGGATCAAATACCATTTACTTTTACATACATCACTTATATTATGAAGACACTATACTAATTAACTAACTAACAGCATATGCGCATTGGCGGCACAGCGGTTAGGACACCCGCCGACGATGCACATGGTCCGGGGTTCGATCCTCGGCCGATGCACACCCGATATATATCGTCAGCCTGCTAAATTTGGGCTACCGATATCACATGCTGAAAACTGCATACTTGTAACAAAACATACTGTGCGGAATCAAGTTATAATAAATAAAATTAAAAAAATAAATGTATACTAACTACTTTAATCATACAAAGGAGGTAACAAACTAAAAACTTACATGTAAAAAATATCACCAAGCTTATGGGACCCAAAAATAATTCGTCTAATAACACTTTTTTCACTACTACTGACAATGAAGCACCGATAAGCGCTTTATCCAACCAGCTGTAGTAAATGTATTGATACAACCCTTGAAATGAACCGATAGCACCTTGTCTAGCTACCAAACAAAAAAAAGTTCAAGAAAAGAATACTTCAAGTGATTGATAAACATTTATGCACTTTGTATTGTTAGTTTACAATGAGAAAATCACCTAACCCTATAAAATGTTAAGCGGGCTATAATCATTAGCATAAAGCAACACCCTTATTAAGAAAAAAAATATCAATCAATTCATTCCTATATATGTCCAAACCAAGTTTATTCTTAATAGTTTGAAAAATTTGGGCATTGGATATATGACATTCATTATAATAAAGGTTTTCTTGTATTTCCCAATGAATGAAAAAACAAAACGATATTGTTTTTACTGACGTTTCGCTCGCTATTTAATGCTTCTAACAGCTTTATCAAAGTGTTATTGAACCAGAATTTACAAAATCTCAGCATGTACACAACAAAGAGTCAAGAGGTGAGAAAATAGACAAGTTAGGTCAAGTTTAAAAGGACATATCGAAAGTCAATTTTACACACTGATCAAATCCAACAATCTACACTTGGTTTTGTTATCTTTACCAATTGGACAACTTGACAACGAAAAATGCCCCCAGACTGACGAACGATGATCAAGTTAGTAAACTTTGTTTTGATACCATAACAGATGTACTATTACCTTTGTTATTTGGTTTAGTGATCTTCATTGTTATTTTGACTTTCAATATGTCCTTTTAAACTTGACCTAACTAGTCTATTTTCTCACCTCTTAACTCTCTTTGTTATATATATGCTGAGATTTTGTAAATTCTGGTTTAATAACACTGATAAAGCTGTTAGCAACATTAAATAGCGAGCGAAACGTCAGTAAAAACAATATCGTTTTGTTTTTTCATTCATTAGGAAATACAAAAACCTTTATTATAATGAATTCAATCCTATTGACAACATAATTATTGGGGAAAATATCTTGAACTTCACTAATAACGTTCCCCAGTGGAACATAGGACTTCAAGCTAGTGGCTTGAAGTTTCTGTAGCAGTGTTTTTTTTATTTCTAACAGGATGGGGTTGCTAGCCTCATGCCCAACTTTTCCTCCTTACCAGCATTATTTCTGGCTTAGAGAGGTAAAGGAGTGCGTCGGCCGGGGATCGAACTCCGGACCATGTGCATGGTCGGCGAGCGTCCTAACCGCTATGCCACCGACGCACAATAACGTATACAGCATACATATTAAAAACGCAGTTACAAACATTGAGGTAAACGAGGTGAAAATCCACTCAAAATTTAAAGGCTTCTTCTTAACAATGAGGCATGATTTGATTATCTCATAACAAGTTGGCTCAACAATAAGTGCATTGTATGATAAGTTCTGAAATTCAACTTCAGTGCTTTCTTTCATGAATATTCTACCTGAAAATTCCGACTAAAGATGAGTTTGTAGACTCTATTGTTGTTCATAGGTTGTCACGCTAACTGATAAGCTAACCAACCAAACCGTTTGAAATTGTCATTTTTAATAGCGAAAATAAAAAGTCACGAAAATAAACTGCAATTGAGACATACGATAAATTATTCGCCTTCAAGTACATCATATATAGAAGTGAATGTCGGATTATCTTAAAATGATTAGCTAGAAATACACATGGACACCCAAAAGTTCCTTGTACACCACATATTTCCAGTTACTGGCATGTAGTAATGGAAAGTGAGAACTCAATAATTTGTTCCCATGTTTGATTCGTATTTTGAGATTTTTATTATGAATAACTGTAACCGAAATGTTAACAGCCATGACAGTGGGTGAGTGACTAAGTAACTGCATCTACATCAGCAATAGTCTCAAGCCATTGGATCTCAGCATCCCAAGGTCCTCAACCAGACAGTCTCCCCCCCTCCCCGAATGGCTCAAACCAACTGTCAAATACTTCATAAACTGATGTCAGGTTTTGGTATAACCAACCTAATCCTATGTCACTGCTTGTCGAGAAAGGTGGTAGCTCAGTACGCACAACATGTGTCCTAGCTATCTCTATCAATCGATTGACTTACCCTCCCTAACTAATAAGATACATCTAACATCAATATTGCTTAACGTATAACTTAACACAAGAGACAGAACGCAAACACCTGTGGTCAAAAACAGTCAGCTTTTTCATATTTTCCACTTTTCCATGGCCATGAAGAAGGATAGAATGAACCGCCACACGATAAATACGTCTTTTCATCAATAGGTTGACTTCAAATCCACGCCAAAGATTACGCAAGCTAGTAAATACTCCACGAGCGTTTTGTATTCGTGTTAACATCCCACCGGCAATCAATCCATTAGGGTTGACGCAACCTCTTAACAACCATAACTAAGAACATAATCTTGTTTTGATACATGAGAGAATATACATGGTTCAGTGAGTAGGTGTACAACCGATGAACAGTTTAACTAAAACATTGTCTAATTTCATCAAGAAGATTCTGAGCCAATCATTAAGACTTTAACAACAATCTTCTTAAACTAATCTACTGAACCTTATGAAAATACTGATCTCGACTTCAACATCTATAAATGCTTCATGAAATGTAGCACAATGGCTTATAAAACCCAGGTCAAACTACATGTACATACAATGAAGTATGAATATAACGGTTGAAAGAATTAAATTTATTCTGCAATTATACAAGTACCAATTAATTTATACAGACTACATTAAACAGGGAACATATATATGCCCAAGCTTATTATAATGCTGAATTAAATCTCACTAATTCTGAACTAACTCTAACATACTATAGTGGGTAAATTCCGATTTTCAAGAAACTGCAGTTCATTGAAAAATGTCCTCGCTGTTCTGATAACAGGCAAGCGAACACACCATCTGATGTAATGGGACAATAAGTGAGCCAAAAAAGTTATAAACCAAATCCAGCCAGTAGCTTCGAACCAGACGGATATTGGGATCCAATACCCGACTAACCAACCACCTAGTCACCAGACGGCGGTAAGCCCAAAAAAAAAAGATTGGGTGTGAGGTTAGCAACCCTACCCCATCAAAAAAAGAAAAAACAACGCTAAGGAAACTTCAAAGTTCGAAACCCTATGTCTCACTTAGAACAGAAATGGAAATGAAAAAGAAAGTGCTTAGAATCAAAATCATACTCAAGCTTATCAGGTGAGCATAAAAGACACCAAATAATTACACCCACAAGGCAGATGACAAGTATTAGAGAGGAAGATGTAGGCAATTTAGCTGGACGGCGTCTCAGTAATAGACCAACGACCGAGAACAATTAAAAGAACATTTCTTGCCATCACCAGCCTTATAAAGGTAAAAATGCTCAAACTCGGAGTAATCTAACACCCTAACAGATAGTGGTGTTCATGTCTTCATATAATAAAAAAACACCCCTGGGCATCTGATTTATAAACAGATGATCCTCAACTGATGTTTTTTACATCACATCCACAATTCGATCAGATGCATCTCACTAGCTGCGTTCTTACAAACCTACCGTGTTAGAACCCCATCCCATTTTTATTCTTTGCAATATCCAGAAAGTCAGTATCAACCTGTTGTTGTAAAAGGATCTGTTCAAATATCTTCTGTACATATATGTAAGTATACTAGTGACATTCATTTTTACCCTAGACGAGAGGAAACAGATGGATTATTTTAAATCTTGCCTCTCTTCTAGGTACTTTGAATAAATTAAACAATGCCTGCAAGAAAATTCTACGGCTGCTGACTGCGTATTCGGTCATTAATTATTACAAATGGAAGGTGAGAGGCATACTTCTCACAGTATCCACAGATCACAGCAACTCGTCATCGGTGTTAAAAATAAAAAGGCACCGGTGATGAAACTGAAGATATTTTATTACGTACACCTATTTACAACAAGCTTTACTATACCCGTACTTAATGTCAACGACCATATTTGACTATACTACAGATGCACCGACGGATGACTTCGATATCTCATAGATTGGTTTGTTAGCAGGCTTGTTAACTAAAATCGCACGACCGATTAAGGCTTAGGCAACAAATACCCTCTGAATGCAAGTGACAAACCTTTGAGCATCACTGACATGCAATTTGCTTACATATGACGACGAGCAATACTACAAAACTTGCTTCCACTTAATTCTAATTTGACAATAAGGAGTGAAATAGTCTCATTTGTTGGCTATTTCATCTATTCCGGAAGTTACATAAAGCCTTCTCTATCATGTGAGCTTTTACAAAGTATAGGAAATTGAATTTATTCGCTTCTGCGCAAAATTTCAACTTTGTTTATCAGAAGATGAATGCCAGTTAGCTAACGAGCAAACCAGAAGAATTCTATATTTATAATAACTAGATTACTGTGACCGTCAGACAAAACAACTTACAACCCTGCTCAATACAAAGAAACAGGTGGCAGAAGGAAACGTCTAGGCTCCTTACCTGCAGTTCTATTTCAAATGCCGAATGATAACTAAAACATCTTACAAGAGCAACAAAATTTGTGAGTCAATTGATTTAAAAATGGTATTCAGTTAATTAAATTATGTTTGTGAGACAAAAAAAAGAAAGTAATAAATCGTAATAGGAACACTTTTTGATTAATAAAAAAACACTACTGTTTCATAACACGCCGAAACTTACCAATCATCTTTGGATCATAACTGCGGACGATCTCCACCCAGGACTTTCTCACTTTTTTTGCCTCCATACCAACATCCGTGTCACTAGAACTAGTGGTTTTATGCTCAGTAGGTTCTGAAGGAGCATAAACCATCTTGATAGATTGTGCACAAATCTCTCCCAATACCATCAGACCACCTCCAATAAGGATATTTTTGACATATGGATTGTAGACATGTGCCCTATAGAAAAGCGGTGCCCGTGCTACCCTACAGTTCGCCTTTTCGCAGGGCTTACTAGAAGTCATCAGTTCAAATTAACCCATGAATGAAAATTTCAATGTAACTACAATTCACAAGTGAGTTCACAAATAAAATTCCGGTTTGAAGATAGGTGCATCGAGAAAAGAGAACTTCCTTAAATTAACGCTTGTAATGTAATACATATTTGCTTACTTCAATAATACTTCAGATGTTTCCAAAGAGAAACACCCGAAAATTAAATGGTACTTTCGAGTTGAAACTTTCTATCAGACCTGGACTAATGTTCAGGTGAAAATGTGTTTCTTAATTTTAACAGAAACAAAGGCAAGATCGTAATTCCGATCCTGAGCAACAAATGACGTGTCTAGGTGAAATCCAAAGAAACTAACTAGCAGACTTTAGTCTTGCTTCGCGATAAGGTAGTATACGAACAACTGTGGCGCTTACTATGACCACTGAATGATCATTTAAACACTGTGTGGAGAGGTCCTACTACCAATTGAAATGCCCCAGCATTCAATATCCAATAACTTTATCACAAGCTTGTAAAACTCGAAGTTTTAGTGATGTTCGCTTGTTTCGAAACGGTCAGGGATCTGAGGTTTAGTTAAGCGCAATCCGATAACCAATATCACTTTTACGAGCTGCTATTAACCAATTTGATTTCTTCATGCCCTCTTCTTGATTATGAGGTGAAGGGTCCCGGTCTTCGGTAAACTTCTGTGTGGCTCCTTCCACTACACGTCTGTCGTAGCTCTGGTTGATTCCAAAGGGATTGGTGCTGAGATTGATGATATATTGTTTATAGTATGCGGGATGCAAAGATGATATTACTACTGTGAATGGAGTTGACCCCTTCAACAGGTAGTCCTCCAGTATCGTCGACAAAAGAAAAGACATAATAATCGCAGATATAATCACTTTAGGTTATTCAAACTAAAAGATAGGAAAAGAAATAAAGAAAAAGTAAAAGCAGACAACTAATTAAATTTGAAATTGATATATATATATATATATCAATTTCAAATTTTCAGGCGTGATCATTGTTTGCTTGTCACAACTCTCTCCTTTGACTTCAAAAAGGGCTTTGGCGAAGTCCCACACATGAGGCTAATTCTCAGGCTAATGTCGTGCGGGTTCCAGGACCCCCTGTTACCCTGTCTCAATTCTGTACTAGGGCCACTGCTTTTCTTAATTTACACTAACGACATCTGGAGTGTAATCGAGCATGGTACTCATGCTTCTTTGCTAACAGCTTCGAGAGTGTATAGGGCATCCTCTATTCTACTCTAATCGAGGGATTTACACATATTTGAGATTATCTGAATAAGTTACAAAAGTGGAGCAGTGATGGCAACTGCCATTCAACTCTGATAAATGTGGTGTCCTATATTTCGAAAACTCCGACTCGAATTTCATATTACACCTAGGTGACCCTCTTCTCCAAACCCTCAATTCCACAAAAGACCTGGGAGTTACCTACTCACAAAACTTAACATTCAGTCAGTACGCAAAATCAACTGTCGAAGACTCACAGGCTTGCTACGCCAAAAACGTACACAAGTGAGGCTAAAGTCCTTTTATACAAAGTCATGTTTCCTCCGTAACTGCACAATCGTCATCGGTCTTACGCATTGGTATAATAGGATTCATGTTGAAAATATCCAACGAAGTATTACACGACGCCTATTACACAAACATCAGGGTTTGACTTACGCGGATACGTGCCAAAAATATGAAGTTCAGCCACTTTGGTTAAGGCGCCTGAAACTCAACCTAACATTCCTCTTACGCCTTTCAAAACGGCTACATCAAAAGCAGTAATCCAATAGCTTTCAACAATACAACCATATGTACTCTTAGGAATCATGTAAATACTCAATCAATAACCCGATACTGGACAAAACTGCGTTCACATTTCATCAAAATACAGTATAGTGCATTATGAAACGAACTTCCATTTACTGTACGTTATGCCGATCTCCTACTGAATTCCAACGTTTCCCTAATGAGTTTCTGTCAAGAAAAAAGCTACGGTCTACTTAGACATGCTTTACCCATATAGGCTGTTAAGCTAACTTTAGTACTACAGGCCCCAGTGCAATACACTCAATTTAAGGAAATTCAATTGCTGCAGCCATTGAACCTCATCCAAAATGTGACAAAACCCCCCTAATTTTCCCCTTTGTGGCTGACCTCAAGTTCAGCTATTTAGTTTATTAGGAATCTTATCAATATTTCATCGAACAGGTCCGCATAGTCATGAGACTGCCTATAATTATCCTGAACGTATAATCCCAAATTTTTAAAGTGTTGCTTTGTAGGGATTTGATTGGTGATAGATTTCATCATGAGCTGACATTAGTTAGAGAACCATTGGAAAACCTGGGAGTACTGGACACCCGTTTATTCCCAGTTTGGGACTCTTCAGCAGTGCGAACCCACCACCAGAATTCGAATCCAGGACCCTCTGGTTACGAGGCTACCGAGTTGGTTTACCATTAAGCCACTGGGACCCGGTCCAATCGCCCATTAGTTCTAACTTCTGACAATTCACGACATAGTGCGACCACTAGCTAGTGTCTTCGGCGGGTATTTGTCCTCACACCCGACCTGCTGCACCCTACTAGTCACGACTTTTCACTAAAACCCCAGGGTCACGCTAGGTCGTGAATTGGCAGAAGTTGGAATTCGTGGGCCATTGGATTGGGTCCCAGTGGCTTAATGGTAAACCAGCTCGCTAGCCTCGTAACCGGAAGGTCCTGGGTTCGCACTGCTGAAAAGTCCCAAACTAGGACGAAACAGTTGGCTTTCCAGTACTCCCAGGTTTTCCAATGGTTCTCTAACTAATGTCAGCTCATGATGAAATCTTATCACCAATGCCAAATTAGTTGTAATAGTTTCTCCATAATATAAGCAAACTGGTACTTTGTAATATCTGAAGCATCTCATGTGAAAATTGGCCATGAAAACTTAGCAATCATGTGCCCGGCCAACCAACTACTTCCCTCAAGTTCATTCTGCCTGCCTTTATCCCTAATCACACCTCAATTCATTTCACTCTACTCTGTAGACTATGACATGATTTGCTCTAGTCCTGAAAACTCCTATAATTATAGTTTTTGAAACCTTTTAACTACTACTTGTGCAGCGAATGTTCAGCAAATTCAGTGATTTCCTCTTCTCTATAAACTTCAACAAGCTGGGTTAGGGTAAGTAATTTCAGAAGTGATTATATTAGCATCCATACACTCCAATATTATATATATATACAATTAGCGTAATACATCGCATTATTTTCTGTTTTGAAATGACTAAATTCAGTCAATAGCCACCCATTTTCATATGCTCTTCTGAAATTTATAAATTCAAAATATGTTTTAGTATCTTTTCCAGAATGCAAGTTGATGAAATACCTTGCAGTATATATTGCGTTCCATATAGTCGTCGATTATGAAAATTTGGCACAACAGTTTCTGTTAACCAGCTGTATTCCTCAGAATCAACAACTTTGTCAGTAACTGTTCCACTACTCATTTCACTCTGCTAAATAGACCATGATCTAGTTGTCCTAATACTAGCTATTTCTATACTTCATAATTCTTAGGGGAAACTTAATTTCCTAGTCACTTTTAATAACTACTTTTACGCATGAATTCACGTCTTCAGGTATCGATGTAGCTGGTGACCTAATGGGAGACATGTCATGAAAGCTGTCAATGTGCAGCATACTGTATGATTGGGACGGGGTTAAAGCAATGTAATATTGCGACTGCAGTCATTGCAGAAGGTTTCAGAGCTTAATATAAAAAAGAGAAGGGTGGCCATGTTGATCAGCAGATTTGGTAATGTTCACAAATATGAATCGCTTCGATCTGTAGGATGGCAACATGCACTTTTGAAGGCTCGAGATATGAACGTGACTATAGATCCTCAACATAAATTGCGATGATTATATAGATCTAAATTTTTAAATACTTTAGCTCATAACATCTGCAAGTCTGCTCAGCTTCGTGTTAAGATGCTGCCCCACTAGCCCTACAAAAATATGCAAAACGTCCTCCAGGTCAGTATGACCAACAGGTTCTAACTTTTCAGGTCTTCGAAGTCACTCCTCACTGAAATGTCACTTATATACTTCATGGTAATGTTTTATCTGATTACTATTGTATTCAGTTTTATCCTAACTACCTAGGCCCCTCTGTAGCTCCTTCTCGCATACATCTTGTAAATGTACTTTCAATGATGGAATATCCATGATTGCATTTCGTATCATTTTGCAGCTGCCCAAGACGTTCCCCTCTTTCCGAAATAGCTTTAAATCACGTTGCAGCATAGCAATTACACAGATATAAGCTGTTCACCTGATGGCTACAATTATCAGCAAGAAACGGAACGATTTTTGATTGACGCTCAAACTTGATGGTGACGTTACTGAAGGGTTTACAACTTGACATTACTTGTACAATAATCCGAAATTCAAAGTTTTGAAAACGCAATTATTTGCGATATTTCACGGCTGTAATTTATAATAATGTATATTCTCATATAAACATATAAATTTACATGAAAATGCATGCCATTTTTACAGGCACTATCAAGTATGATATAATATCAAATCGTAGATTGTCTACAAGTTAATAATGTTTCAACAGTTAAAAATTCGATATAAATATAAGTACACTCATTGTCTGAAATAGGCTGTATAGTTATTGAATTGTACAATTGTCCTCCAGGTTGAGCGGGAAAATCTACTTCGTTTCGTTTTCATCCCGTGGTTGTCTGCATACGATAACCAACCAATATTGAGGTAAATGCAACGTTTACAAGGGATTGGAAGCTGTTTTAGAAAAGTTAAAGTGATAAGGTGAAACATTAAAGTGTAATAGATTAAGTGAGTGAAATATAAAATATAAAATAACTGATCGTGCTTGTAAAGATGGTATGCATTTCACATAAACTTACCTGTTCATACGAAACAAGAATTATCATTAGCAAACTGTCAATTAAGGTGAACATAGAACTTTTGCTTTTCAAACTGGTA